GAGGAGGAATGGGGTAGCGCATCTGTCGGAGGTGTATAATTCATCTCTCAAGGCGGGTATTGATTCTCCCCATAGGATGGGCAACGCGAGAAACAGTAGAGAGGGGGAGAGGTCGCGTAGCTCGACGGGGGGAAGGGACAGAGCAGGATCGAGCAATTGGGACCAGAGGAGGGAGGAAAGTGCCGGAATACTGGCTCTGGGAGAAGGCAATCAATCGGCTGGGAACCCCCAAGTTCCCCCTGGGTTCACAGTCAGAAGAGAAGAGGATCAAGGGAATCAGGGGAGGCTGAGAGGGAGGTATAGGGAAGAAATGGGAGGCAGGGATCTCAGTCTTGAGATGGAAAGAACAGCAGAGGCAATGGAGGGAGGTCTGCGTTTGGAAGAGGAAGGGAGGCTGGGCGGCGGCGCCGATCAGGAGGAAGAGGAAGTTGAAACGGGCCTAACCCTTGGGCTGAGGAAGCAAGGGAGAGCAGCGGGCTTTGAGGGAGGCCCAACCGAAGTCTCCCTTTACCAACATGATCAGCGGGCTTTTGAAGAGGAGATGGGCCGGAAGTTGAAAAAAAGGAAAGGGATGGGCCGAGTTAATAATGAAGGGCCCAGTGGTGAGTTGGGGGAGGGAGCAGACACCCTCTTGGGCCCAAATGAGGCTATTTTCATGGAAGGGCTTGGGGGGAAGAACAAAAAAAAAGAAAAATCAGAGGTTTAAGCCTCATTCCAGCAGCAAATCAAGGGAGAACTACTCGGATGGGGAGCAAGGAAGGGATACGAGGGCAGCGGTGGTTCGCCAGAAGCCACCTCTTCAGGAATGAGTATTGTAAGTTGGAATTGTAGGGGATTTGGCCCACCCCTTACAAGAAGTTATGCAAAGCGTTTGTGTCGACGCTTAGGCCCTTCTATTGTTTTTCTTATGGAACTAGCAAGAACGAGGCCTTCATGGAAGATCAAAGAAGAAGTCTCAAAATTTTCCCCAATAGAGAGTATGTTGAACCGGTTAACTCTTCTAGGGGGTTTGCTTTGTGGTGGAAAGCGGGTATTAGTATTAGTGTGTTAAGTAGTGATAACTATTATATGGATGTTAGTATAGATATGGGTAGGAAATTTTTCTGTACTTTTGTTCATGCACCCTCTACAGCTGTTAGTAGAAGGGAATTTTGGGAGCACCTGAGCTCTCTGCGGAGTAGTAGGGATGATAGCTGGGTTATTGTAGGGGATTTCAATGCTGCGGTGTATGAGAATGAAAAGGAAGGGAGATGCCCTCTTAGGTACGAGAATGTTGAACCTTTTAAGAGGTTCATATTCCAGAATGCTCTAATTGACCTGGGATACAAAGGGGAACCTTTCACTTGGACCAATAAGAGAACGGGCCAAAACCTGACTAGAGTGAGATTATATCGTGTGCTCTGCTCAACGTCCTGGCGTGCCCAATTTGGAGAAGCAGTGGTCTTCCATGAGAAAATGGTGGAGTCTGATCACTGCCCGATCAGACTTGAGCTTCACTACCGAGGTAACAGGAGGAAGAAGACACCATTTAGGATTGATGAGCGATGGCTGGAGAAGGAAGAATGTAAGGAGATAATAGCCCGAGCGTGGGACCCGGGAGGCCAATCAACGGACCAGTTGAACAAATGTCAAAGAGATTTAAAAGAGTGGGCGAAAGACTTCCATAAGAGTAGTATGCAAAGGGAGCAAGATATACTTTCAAAGCTCGAAATGCTACAACAGCCGCCAAGAACGACTGAGAATGTGGAGGAGGAAAAGATGTTGACTATCGAGCTGACCAAGTTATGGAGGGACGAAGAAGCATTCTGGAGTCAATGCTCGAGAGTTAACTGGCTCCAAAAAGGTGATCAAAATACCTCTTTCTTTCATTCAAGCACTATCCATAGGAAGCATAGGAACAAAATTCTGAAACTCCAAGATGGAGAAGGAAATTGGATAGAGGATGAGAATAGTCTCAAAAGACTTGCAGAAGGGTTTTACAAAGAACTTTTTAAGGCCAGGAATCCTATTCCTTTTAACCATTTGTTAGAAGACTTCCCTGAAAAGGTGACTACGGAGATGAACGAGGATCTTTGTGCTACGGTGACTGACGGGGAAATTAGAAAAGCTGTTTTCTCCCTGGGAGCTCGCAAAGCTCCGGGTCCTGATGGTTTCTCAGGAAGATTTTATAGGAGATACTGGGATATCTTAGGAGACACCTTATGTCGAGAAGTTAGAGGATTCTTTGAAACGACTACCATGCCAACTGGATGGAATGAGACTCACATCGCAATGATTCCAAAGGTCGACAACCCTGAGTTGATAAGCCAATACCGACCTATTAGCTGCTGTAATTTTAGATACAAGATCATATCTAAGATTATGGCAACGCGTCTCAAGAGGTGGACCCCCGATCTGGTTTCAGAGCTCCAAACAGCTTTCACTGGGGGAAGGCTTATTCAAGATAATATCATCATTGTCCATGAAGCCCTTCATCATTTCAAGAACCACAAGCAGGGTCGAAGGAGAGATATGATGCTGAAACTGGATATGAAGAAGGCCTACGATATGGTTGATTGGGAGTGCCTGGAGGCTCTTCTCAAGAAATATGGGTTTGACAATAAATGGTGTGGTTGGGTCAGTGCATGCATTAGAACGGTCAGCTTCTCCATTCTGTTCAATGGAGAAGCAACTGACTCGTTTAAACCTTCCCGGGGCATTAGACAAGGAGACCCACTTTCACCTTTCTTATTCATTCTCATGTCAAATGCCCTCACCTTCCTGATTGACAAGGCGGTGGAGAATGATAAGCTGAAGGGGATTAAACTGAATCACAGATGTCCAGTGCTCACTCATTGCCTGTTTGCGGATGACACAGTTATCTTCGGGAAAGCAGATCACCAAGAAGCACAGAATATTATTGATATCATTGGTGAGTATGGAGCTATCACAGGTCAAGAAGTTAATATTAACAAATCTTCAGTCTTCTTTAGTGCTAATGTCCCGGGTGATGTCAAAGATCATATAATCGCGAGCATGGGCTTCGCTTCCTCGAATTGCCACTCAAAGTATCTTGGAGTCCCGACGGAGTGGGGAAATTCGAAGAAGGAAACTTTTAACTTCCTCATTCAAAGGATGGAGAAAATGGGGGAAGCATGGAAAAGTCTCCTTCTCTCTCATGGGGGAAAAGAAGTCCTTCTGAAAGCGGTTATTCAAGCTATTCCAGCTTATATCATGTTCTTGTTCTATCTCCCAAAAGCCCTCACCAAGAAAATGGACTCTCTCCTTAGTAACTTCTTCTGGTCAGGGTCTATGCAAAAGAGTAGCCTCCATTGGTGTAGGAAAGAGATTCTTTGTCTGCCTAAGTCAGAGGGAGGATTGGGCTTCAGGAGCTTCAATGATTTTAACCTTGCCTTGCTAGCTAAGCAGGCCTGGCGCCTCCTCACGAGCCCTGATTCACTGTGGAGCAGGCTCCTTAAAGGGTTGTACTTCCCCAGAGGTGATTTTCTTAATGCAAAAAAGGGAAGCAGAGCGTCGTGGATATGGGCTAGCCTCTGGGAGGCAAAGAAGGTGATTGGTTTGGGTGCAATTAGAGTGATTGGGTCAGGTGAAGACTCGTGGGTCGATCAAGACCCATGGATTCCCTTGTTGGATGGGTTTACGCTCAGGACTGGCCCTCAGAATCATCGGAAGGTCAACGAGTGGATTGACCCGGGAGAAAGGAAGTGGAAGACGGATGTTATACAGGGACATGTCTCTGGCTCAGAACTCGAAGCTATTCTCAGGATACCCATTGGGGAGGAAGGAGCAGATGACTTTTGGGCATGGAACTCCAATGATGAGGGAAGGTTTACGGTGAGATCCGCGTACCATATGATTCACAGAGCAAACACCATAGCTCAACCAAGCGGGAATACTGATAAATGGAAGTGGATTTGGAGCCTTCACCTCCCCCCGAAGTTGAAATTCTTTGTTTGGAGATGCTCCAGGAACGGGTTAGCAACGAAAGAGAGACTGCTCCAGAGGAAGTGTGCTCCCAACTCTTCGTGTGAGGTGTGTCAGTACCCCGTGGAAACGGTTAATCATTGCCTGTTCCAATGCCCTCATGCCAAGGAGGCATGGAATGCGCTGTTCCCATCCCTTCCTTTACCCCCTCAAGGAACCTTGTTCTTTGATTGGTTCTGCTCCCTTAAAGATGTTGTCCAACAAAGCTCCTTGATCCATATTGTCTTCCTTTGTTGGAATATTTGGAAGGCAAGGAACGAATGCTCTTTCAAAGGTAGAGTCCCGTGGACTCCGAATGTGTGTCAACTTACCTATAAAGAGCTCACTGAATGGAATTCGTGTCCGAGGTCCCCACCTCCCCTGCCTTCCCTCCCCACTCAGCTTAGGGGAACCCAGTCTCATACGAATCCACCGCCAAGTAATCAGTCTTTGATGATTCACTGTGATGGGTCGTTCATTAGCGACTCCCAGCCGGCGGCTTATGGTGTTGTGGTTGTTAACCACCATGGACAAGTGTGTGATGGGAGAGCTGAGGATCTTCTTTGTTCCACCCCAATTGAAGCGGAAACTAAGGCCCTTCTCGAAGGAGTGAAATTAGCGCAAGAATATGGATCCGAGTGTACGGTTCAATCCGACTGTCAGGTGCTGGTTAAAGCTTTGGATAACAATCGATCTCGATGGCCTTGGAGGTGTGCAGCCTGGATCGGTTCGATTGTTTCTATCCTTCGGACGAACCCTCTCATCAAAATCAAAGATGTGCCCAGAACACTTAATGTCAGAGCAGATTGGGTTGCTCGTTCTAAAGCTAGAGCGTCTCTTCCTGATGATTGGATTAATATTCTTGATCTCATTTCTGATCTTCTTTAAAGAATGTAACCGAGTTTCTCGTCTTTCATTTGATTGGTGGAATAAAAGTTGGTAACCTTTGTCAAAAAAAAAATTAGAAAGTAAAAGTGAAAGAGAACTGGGGGCAAAAGGTAAAAGAGAAAAAGAAAAAGGAGCGGCAATAGGGACATAACTGCAAAAGACATCTCAAGTATAATCACCCGGCTGTTCTCAGTTCAAGCAGCGTCAAAACGACGCTCCAGCCTCTTGCTTCATACTGAAGCTGCTTCATACTGAAGCAAGCGGTTGCCGCTGTCCCATCCACGTGTCGACACCGTGTTTGGATGGCTCGGTATACAATAAATTTCAACGTAACGATAATAACGGACAAATAAAAGACGCGGGTAAAAATCGGACGCCTATTTCGCCAACATTTCTTCATCCCCAAGCATATAATAACTCACATTCTTTTACTCTACAGAGCCAAGCATTAAACTGCAGCCTACTAAGATAAAAAGATAGCTGGTTTATGGATGCACACAGTGGCCTTCGACTACTTCAAGCACAATACGTCCTTATCTTTCCTCACAGGGCATCCCGGGAAGCTATTCGGCATGTAATGGCATCAGCAAGTGAGGAAATCCCTAGCTCCATCGCAGAGATTTTGTAATGCTGAAACAACATATTACGAAGCAATCGTGTATGGTTATCGGTAGCTTGAAAGCAACGATATGTCGATATTATTATCTATATACACGTCTTGTTAAGAGCCAGGCACTAGTTTCTTATACGAACCTTAAGGATTTGAGCTTGGTTTGCTCTGCTCTCCAGCTCCACTAAGTCGACCTCTTTGCCGTTGATAAGTTTTTCTACCACTTTCATCTGAAGCGAGATGCAGGAAAAGCTTACATTACGGTCATGATCTTTGTTGATAGAAATCTATGGATCTTAAAGGCAATAACTGCATTAGTTTTTTCTTAGAAATGAGGAAAAGCTTACATCTTCCGGCGAGGCATTGAAGCGAGCTGCGAGGACGTACGTGCAGCTGTCTGAGATACCACATCGTTTCAAGGACTCTGTAATCTGGTACAGTCAGAAGAATGTAATATACATAGCAGTGCAGTGATTAATTGGAGCTTTGAAACTAGGGAAAGGTAAACAAAAGATGAAGTTATGTAAACTAGTCATTGGGGAACTTACATGCTTGGATCCTGAAATATTGTAGACAAGCTCAGAATGAAGCGTTCGGGTTGTCAATGAATCCCGAGACTTTGACACAAGCGCCTTGTGTGCTGCAGCGAGAACAGGGAAAACATCGGGGATCTGCCATAATGGAATGCAATCGATCAGAAAAGTCAGATGATTAAAAAAACGATTGAAGGAGTTTTTCGGATAATGAATTGTCTAAAAGAAGCATACAAGTGATGCATTCATAAACGAAACTTCCAGCTCCAGATTCCCAGCTTGCATAGAATCAAGAAGCTCCCTGCAGCATAAGAGCTAAACAGTGAGCTTGATGTCCAAGGAGGGAAAAACCCTAGTAATTCTCTGTTATACATAACTTTGCATTTTCGTCTAAAGCGAGATGCAGTAACATATCATTACGGTCATGATCAAATTTCTTTTCCATGGACATCAAACTGTAGCTTTCTTTTATGCCGAACTTCGAGACTGCTAGACACGAAACCCAAAAGGTTCTTTGTAGGTAGCTTAGCTAAGTCCATGTCTGGAGTGGTTCAATCAACATTTCCCCTTCCTACTTACCATCACAAAGACAATCCTCCACAGTACTAGCACACCATAACTACTTTGCTATTGTTCATTCTAACAAAGAAAAGAACTTTCTTCCTTGATAGCAGTTGCGCCAAAGGGAAGCCAGCGTCCTAAAAAGCTCCCAAATCCTTATTACAAAACCTTCATCACGTTTCAGCACATCCTGTAACTCATCTAGTGCTTAAACCCAGCTAGAACATTTCCAAAGCAATTTCCATACGCAGCAACGAGAAGCAAAGAATAGAGCGAGAGTTGTTACTTGGAATTGGCGACTTCGGCGAAGAGGGCGAGAGAAAGAGTGTTGTTTCCGTTGATTTGGAAGACCTTCATGGTTGAATTTTTTTTTTTTTTTTTTTTTTGCTACGTTCAAGCTCCACTTCAGCTCTTCAAGTTATGAGGAGAAATCAAATTTGTGTACGATGCGCAACCCAGAAGGATTCAAGGAGGAGAGTGAAGACGCCGGGGAGGAGCTGGGACGCCGAATGGTTAAACCTCCGACGGCGGCGATGTAAACTCGGTGGCCGGCGAGGGAGTGACTGACTACGGGTGATAAGAGGATTGGGAATTTAGGGTTCAGAATTGCCATACTGGTCGCACTTTGAGCGAGGGCGGAGAAGGCCGAAACTATGGGCCCAGCTACGCTTTCTTAAGGCCCATTAAATGTATATGAACAGTACCCACGTAACATCCCTGCTGACCCAATCCAGACACTCTGATAAGGTCCACGACTACGAGTCATTGTGATTTGAAGAAAATGATCGACTTCTACCGATAAACGGTTGATCAAATGAAACAATTAAAATAAAAGAAGAATGATTGATTATTCTTATGTTGGGAGTAAATTGAATGTTAAATAGAGTATATGTATTTGAGATCATATTGTACTAAACTGTACGATAAAATATAGGTTTGTAAACCACTTATCATGAGATGAGACAATGGCTTAGTTTGACCCTGTTGTAGTTTTTGCAGAAACCGCTTCTGTTTTGAGCTTTTAGAGAAGTGCTTTTCAAGAAAAGCAGTTGAGTGTTTAGCTGAAAAACTATTAGAAGTGCTTTTTAATATGAATATATGATAGGTTGTGTAAAATAACTATAAAGGACTTATGATATAAATTATGAATAATCATTTTAAACAATAAAATGTAGTCAAAATGGATCTTATTAGACTTCTTTTATATCAAATAATATGATTTTATAATTTATTTTATTTTTAAAATAATGCAAATGAAATAAAATTAAAATATGGTAAGGATAATCTTGTATTTTCAAAACAGTTTTTCGCAGAAGCTCCAAATCAGAGCTTCTACTTTTACGTTATACAAAAACGCTTTTCGGCTTTTCAAAAGCCGAGTTTTAAGATATGTTTGACCCTGCTATAACTTTTGAACTCGAAAAACACTTTTAAAAACTGGGCCAAACATAAGCAAGATGTCTCCTCCCAGCTGTTTGTAATGAGTGTGGACTATACCTGATTTACTACTCTAGGCTCACGATTTCTACGTCTAAAAACTTCCAACATTTACAATAGTTTCCATTGCAAAGTGGCGAAGCTTTCCACTGTAAAGTTCTAGTTCTTCCCGCTATAGGCGTCTTGGTCGAAACTCGAAAGGAAGAGCTCGTGGCAATAACTACACCTTGACCTAGTTCTTCTTTGTCTATTGAGAATTCCGTACTGAAAAAAATATCAACATCCCAAATATCTTCTGCACAAAAAGCTCATTCCTTTATCACATTCCAATCCAAGTCCTCCTTGCTCCGTAAATTTATCAGCGGACCCAGTTCAATTTCAATTCACTTGAAAGTGAAAAAAAATCCCAATTTCCCCTGCTATCTCTACTCCCCAAATCCCCCAAATGCATATGCTCCACTTCAACCCTAGCTCCCTCTTCTTCCCGTCAAAACCCAGTTCTGTAACTCAGCTCTCGCCGGCCGGTCCCACTTTTTCCCGCTGTTTTGCAGTCGGAGGCGACGTCCCCGCCGGGCCAGACTTCCCCAGGTGGTTCCCCTTTATTTCTTCTTCTTCTGCTGCTGCTGATGCCGCGGGCATCCGGATTGGGAAAGACTCCGACGGCGGCGGAGGAGGAGTTGGTTACGGCTCCGGTGGAGTGGACGGCGGCTTGTCCCAGAGGCGGGGCAACGGCGGCGTGAGTGGAAGCAGGTTGAACGCGAGGGAGAAGAAATGGTCGAGGAATAGAGATAGCTACTTGGTGGATGATGAGGATGTGCTCCCTCTTCCCATGTCTTATCCCAATACTAAACCCGTCACCCCAGAGGAGATTGATAAGCGATTGAGATGTGACACTGAAATTGAGGCAAGTGAAGTTCCAAGAACATGTAAAGCTGAGAACTTTTATGTTTTAAGGCATAATAGGGTCAATGGGGTGTCAATGGTTCCAGTATTTGAGATGATTCCAGTCAGTGTCTTGAATTTAGAAGGAAAGGTTGAAGTGGAAGCTGATTAGCATTTTCTGAGTTCCGATTAGTTACCATGCTTCTTGTGACGAGTTAAACGGCTTTTGTTTGTCTGGCCTTATGATTGTGCTTGGTTCATGGTGTTGTGGTGATGAAGATGTGAATTTCATTTCTGGAACTGTAGGATTGCAGGGAAGTGGTTTATGAATGGACTGGAAAGTGCAGGAGTTGCCAAGGGTCAGGGGATGTCAGTTATTTTAACAAGAGAGGGAAGGAGATTATCTGCAAATGCGTGCCTTGCCAAGGGATCGGTACGTTTTCCTTCTCTGCATGCTGCAATACTGCAGCAATCGATGAATGGATGAATGAATGGTGGCTAGATGGTATACTAATGAAGAGTAAATCCATGTAATTTCTTTTTTGCTCGACAGTTACTGAATGTGAGAAATGTTTTTGTAGACCATCGGGGAGCTTATTGCATAACTGAACCAACTGATAACTATGCTTAGTGATTGTGGTTAGAGGACAGTGGACAGATTGTTGTAACTGGCTTCATTATCATATAGAACAAGGGCTAGGCTCCCGAAATATATGTAGGTGTGAGGTGTTAGAATGCACTTCAAGCAGTAGGAAGAAATTGTAGCATAAGCTTGGCGATGTCGAGCCGATGATTAGAGATTCTAGTGTCGGAGACAAAATAAAGCTGACTCAATTATATGGCCCATAATGCAAGTGATGGAGTAGAGATGCATAAGTACAACTAGTAATATTAGTAGTAATTAGTAGCATAGCTATAGCGTTATTAAAACCATTTGATAGTGATTAGGGTTAAGGGGTTTGCTATATCGAACAATTAAACCAAAGCAATGAGCTTTGTCTATCTGAACAGGCACTGGAACTGGAAGTACGATAATTGGGAGATGTTGCTGCCACATCTAGTATCCTAATCCTCTTCCCAGTCTCTCTACTCCCTAATCCTATTTTGTTCTTCCTGTTCTGATCCTTATTCCTTCCCAGTTGTCTTCTAACCCTTCTCAATTCTACTAATCTCAATCCCAGTTGTCTACTTCTCCTTTTCCCGATCCGTTACTTGTCAGCAAGCTCGTGATCTTTGTTGTACATCGTCTGTAACATATTCGCATTGAGCAGAAGCAATGAGCTTTGTCTATCTGAACAGGGACTGGAAGTACGATAATTGGGAGATGTTGCTGCCACATCTTGTATCTGACTTTCTAGTTTATCGAATTGCTCTGTTAAAATGAAAAATGTGAAGGCAAATGAATCATATTCTATTGCCAAAGGATGTAATAAGTGTCTCTTAGCACAAAGGATAGAGTCCCTTTCCACCTTTATATATACCTCAGGTCCACAAAGTTTGGCACCCATAGTTTTGGCATATCATAATTGATTATTCATAGAAAGTGGCTACTAGTTTTGTGCTTTCCTTATTCATTATGCTATCAGATAAATGTAGGTGAGCTTTATTCTTTTCTGTTTCTCTGTCTCACCCCTTTTTGTTTGTCATAATTGTGACAATTGAGAATTTTTCATCTTGGCAGCTGACTTACCCTTTTGAGCATCTCTTGTCTGTGAACTTCATCGATTAACTACTTCTTTTTCGGATTCCGATTGGCTAATAATCCAATTCAATGTAACTACCCTTTACAGGATATGTGCAGAAGATTACTGCTCGGAAGGACATTGAAGTAATGGAGAACTTGGACAACGGAAAGCCACCATGAGATCGATCATCGTGTTTCTTTTAGGTTCAGACTTCAGAGTATACTTCCCATGAATTCTGGTTTTCGTACAGAACTATATAGAGATTGACAAGCATATCTTGACATGGAGAATATAGGGCAAAAAGTGATGGGCAAAGGGCTTCAAATTTGTTAACCTTTTTGAAAAGGAATCTATTCTTTCCGTTGAGCTTCTTCAACCACAGCTTTCTTTTTCCATATGTACATCTCTTGAAGAGGTTCCTCGCAGGTTGATCTCAGGAATAAAAGAAAGCCCTCTTTACTTTATTCTTTGCTTTCCACCTTCCTTTATAAATATGCATGGAGTTCATACATTAGAATTGCACTTAACATCTTCTCCATCTTAGAACTTCTATTGCTGCAAAAAATCCTATGTCGAACGTAAGCTTTCTGGAGTTTCAGTACAAGCTCTCTAACAACAAGTTCCTCCGGAAACCTTCTCGGATGTTCTCCTCGCACAGCCGGCAGAACTCAAGCAGCAGTGTACCAATAAGGTTGCAGCCAAATGTGAAGGAGATGAGACAAGTGTTCAACAAATTCGATTCCAATGGAGATGGCAAGATCTCTCAGCAGGAGTACAAGGCCGTGCTGAGGGCTCTAGGGCAGCAGTCCATGATTCCCGACGTGCCCAAGATCTTCAAGGTGGCCGACCTGGATGGAGATGGGTTTATCGATTTCAACGAGTTTGTTGAAGCTCAGAGGAAGGAAGGAGGCGTTCAAACGATGGATTTGCAGAGTGCCTTCAGGACGTTTGACGCAAATGGAGATGGGAGGATAAGTGCAGAAGAAGTCATGGGAGTTCTGAGGCAGCTCGGGGACCGGTGCAGCCTCGAGGACTGTCGGAGGATGGTTAGGGCAGTGGACAACGACGGGGATGGGCTGGTTAACATGGATGAGTTCACCACCATGATGACTCGTACCCTCGTGCGTAATAACTGACCATGGCTGTGGGTTTGTTGTGCGAATCTTTGCTTAGTGTTCTTCTGATGGCCTCTGAAATCTAAACTTGTTTCATTAGAGTTGTTTTCTTCTTTATCAGTTCTCCTTGTATCTTCAGTGATATCTCATGTACAAAACGCTTGGTTCCATGGGGCAGTGATCTCGTTGAAAGTTCATAAATAAACGTGTGCTTTCTCGTACTTCATCAAACCGTTTCAATCAAAAATGAAATCTGAATTATGAATGCTAAATCAGAGGTGGATAAATAATTCAGTACGTATACCGGCTTTGCATTCTATGCAGGTCGCATCAGGTATTTCGTTTGAAAAACAGGTGAGGAAATGTTGGCACTAACAAGAACATATATCGACATAATCGTGAAACGTGATTTGCAGAAAACACTTGCAAATCAATAAGTGGAACGGGATGAAGTGAGAATATACATGATCATAAGCAGCAGAAGTAGTCGTTCAGACCATGAGCAGCTCGAGCAATTTTATAAACAAGGTCCCAGTAAACAGAACAAAGTGAATAAACTAGGTAACTACAATGTTCTCAGGAATCTTGTTTCAGTAATCACCACTCACCAGTAATCTCCACAAGAGCACTTGCCATCCCTGAAGTGATGAAACCTCTTGTTATCCCTAACGATCAACTCCCTCCCCACAATCCTGGACATAATCTTGATGGCATTGTGACAGTCGCCGCATATCCGGAGGTTCTTTATGATCCTCAGTGTCGTCCTCGCCGGAGTGCTGATCAGTCCATAAGCAATCGCCAGCCTCTCACTATGGTACAATAAAGCTTGCTCTTTTGCCTCTTGATCAATGTCGTGGAGAACATATCTGGTGTCTGGGACATAACCCGAGTTCTTCAACTCCATCATTTCCTTGAGTTTTGGATCATCCTTGTAGAGAGCAGGATAACGGTACTCTGCTATTCTACTCTTCCCTTCCAGCATGCTGACTGCAGTACGCTTCACTGGAGGTGGCGTAGGAATCTTTTTAGCCACTGCCTTAGAGGGATCCACGGAAACAATCAGTTCTTCGAGGCGATCTTCAAGATCCACATCTCCGTGGATTCGAGCATAGTTCATGTACTTCTCCCAGATTTCCACAGAGGGAGCAAAGGGCAGTTTCTCAATGTACTGTTCAATTTCATTGAGGAAACCACATTTCCCAAGTACATCAATCATTCCAACATAGTGTTCCATTTGTGGATCGATCCCAAAATCGCTCTTCATCAACTTGAAATGGATGAATGCCTCATCCACGGCATGTGCACTGCCACAGGCTGATAGAACAGCGAGGAACGTTTCTTCCGTGGGTTTGAGATCTAGCTTCCTCATCTGCTCAAACAGCTGCAAACCTTCATCCCCCAAGTTGTTGTTTGCATAACCATGGATCATCAAGTGCCAGGTATCCATGTTTCTTTCTGGCATATGATCAAACACCCTACGAGCATCAGTCATACTCTCACACCTGCCATACATCTCAATCACCTTATTGTTCAACCTGAGATCACCCCTGCAAGTCGATTGCAGAAGGTAGTCATGCACTTTCTTGGCATCCTCGAGTTTGCTACACAACCCAAATAGAGAATCGAAACAAGCGTAATCAGCTCTAAGGCCTTTATCCATCAACTCGATCGCTTCCTTGACCTTCCCTTCACCGCACAAATGCAACAGATCAGCTAATGAAGGCACTGGATCAGAATTAACAGGCTCAGCAACGAAATTTCCCGGTCGAGGGTGCTGCACTTGAACTTGGTCATTCCACTGATTCTGAACTCCACGTTGCCCGAAGTTCTGGACATTACCGTTCACCTGGGGTGTATTATGATGCTGAGGATAGCTCTGCCCACCTGGAGAATTCCAATGACCCGACCCCCCTTGAGGAGGCGGATGCTGCTGCTGCTGCTGATTGAAACCACGATTAGGGTATCCCTGATCAGGATTGGGATACCCTCTATTGGGAAACCCCTGGTTCAAATTCTGCCTTCGGTCCGGAAAATTACCCTGATAATTACCCTGCTCTCCTCCCATATGTGGCGGAGGGTTCTGCTGTGGGTGGTGCCACTGGTTATGGTTTCCTTGCTGTCGCTGCGGCGGATTGAACTGCTGCGGAGAGTTCTGCTGAGGATGGTGCCACTGGTTATCGTGTCCTCGCTGTTGCGGCGGCGAATTGAACTGCTGCGGCGGCGGAGGAACTCTATTATCCCAGCGGGGCACCTGATCAGTATGCCTCTCGCCATGGAAACTCCTAGGCTCGGAGTGAGACGGTGGTGGGCGGTGGAACTGATTGGGGACGGCCGAAGTAGTGCTCAGGGTTCTGGCCGCAGCTAGGGTTCTAACGAAGGGAGAGTGAGAGAGGTGTGGAAGTAACAACCGTACCTTGATGACTGAAGACGAAGAAGAGAGCGTCGCTCGCGAGCCGCGCATCGCCATGAGAGACGCCATTTTTTTGCTGGACGGAGATTGAAATTAAAAAACCCTAGTTAAACCCCCCCGGCTGGAATGGGGACGCAGAAGCCAACACAGTATACGGGGTGACCGAGGTTGAAGAGAAAGAGGAAGAAGTGGAAGGAGGACAAAGGACTACGGGCGGGGAAATAGGTAGTAGCGACGGCGCCGGCGAGCGGCTGATGTTCGGCGTTGTCGAAGAGAGAAGATCGCCGGAGTCGGGAGTGGAGAGAGTGATGAAGATTACGGGAGCGTAGGGATGGCAATGGGTAGGGTCGGGTGCGGGTTTACCCTATACCAACTCCTAACACGCTCGGTAGAGCTATCTAAAATACCCGACCAACTAACCACCGGGTATGAAAATGATATAACTAGAGGTGGCAATTAGGATCCAAATCCATGAATCCAATCCAATCCATCCACCAAATTATCCACTTAATCCAATCCATTTAAATCCAATCCATTTGATCCAAATCCAATTGGATTGGTGGATTCATGGATCAATCCATGGATCCAAATGGCAAATTACGATTTGGTACCTATATTTTTTATATTTTACATTTTGGTACCTAAAATTTATATTTTTATACGAAAAAAATCATTGGAAAATTACATTTTGGTACCTAAATTTTTTCATTAGGACATTTTAGTACCTAAATTTTTCAAAATTTACATTTTGGTCCAAGCTTTGGATGTCATTTGGATTCATGGATCAATCCACCAATCCATTTGATCCAATCCATGAATCCACCAATCCATTGGAGCCAATCCATTTGATCCATGGATCCATCAATCCAATCCGCGAATCCACGAATCCGATCCAATTGCCACCTCTAGATATAACCATACCCTACCCACCGGGTAACCACGGGTATTCGGGTAACCATGGGTACGAATCCTAAACTATGAACTTATACACATATATGCACATATATATTGTTGTCCATTAAAAATTCTCAATACTTGTAAGTTGTAACTGTTCTAGCTTCAACAATCCACACAAATAAAAACAACAAACACATAATAATTGTTCTTGCTTCTACAATCCACACAAACATAATAATCATCTACATATTCATCATCAATAATGGTAGCTAAACTCAATTTCTCAACCTAAAATAAATTTCTCAAGGGAAATTGACCCTTTGGTTAGCGGGGCGGGTATTATCGATTACCATACCCGTACCCTACCCTTTATTTTGAAACCGGGTATTATCCGTACCCGCCCCTTAACCATCAAAGCGGGTAATTACCCTCGTTCACCGGTTACGGTCGGGTAGGGTACCCATGGTTACGGGTTGGATTGACATCCCTACGGGAGCGAGTCTGTCTGCTTCGCCCTAACTAAGGAAGCAGGGGAGCGAGGCCGGAAACGACGCCGCATTACCTAAATTTAACGGCGTGAGTGGTGAAATGATTCGTTTGGACGGAAAAAAAATTATCACGCCGTTGCCGGGGATCGAACCCGGGTCACCCGGGTGACAGGCGGGAATACTTACCACTATAGTGACTATACTACAACGACCGTTGGTGATGAAAATGGTAATAGGTCAGTATTGAAAATTTTAGTTCACAAATTACGTTGCAAATCCGTGCAAGCTGTACCTGAAGAAATTTTGGGTCACCAGCTTGTATGGAAGTTTTTGACTTGCAGCGTGTTGAAAGATGAATATGTGAAATTTATTCTTCCAAACTCATATATAAAGCGAAATAGAGTAGTCAGTAAGCCAATACTACGATGCAACCATAAAAAAAAAAAAGCGGTGTAAGTGCAACCAAAGATAATAGGTCAGAGCTTATATATTTGCTCATGATTTGATCTAATTCACCTGAGTATGTTTAAAAAGAGAAAGAGATCAATCTTCCCTATAGTTTCTGTCTCATTCTCATAATATGCACATACTCCACACTATTACCAATCAAACACACGGATCAATCTTCCCTACAGCTTTATGTACAATGACAGACACATTCCAGGCCATTTACATCGCAATTCCAGCAGAATCAATGCTCGAGTCCTGTAGTTTAAACCGAAAACAAAAGAAAGAATAACAGACTGCCAAGCATTCAAAATAATTACATTCATTGGTTAACCGGATAAATGAACACCCTCCTGTGCAACAAGCACGAATTTATCTACAACGAATGTACAAGAGTTGCTATGTTTGCCGCAAAAGGATGCGCAGGTAGATGGTTTATACTTTATATACATCTGTACACCTAAAAACCGGGGTGCGGGAACTAGAACTGACAGATATTCTCAAGCTACGAAACCATTTGCGGCTTCTTCAGGAAAGCTCGGATGTTAATACGAAACTTATGATTTTGAGAGATCTCTGCGTTCCAATTCACTTTTGATTTTTTCTCTCAGGGTGTCAGCCGAGATCCCACCATCGATTATATTCCCAGGAGGAGACGAGGGCAGGCACATCGTGGTGACTTATCATTTGGCCTTCAATCTCTGTTGTGTGTCTGAGTTGGTCCTAGATATTTCTCCATCGATTCTTTCTTGTGCTCAGGGTCGAGGCTGCAGGAAACCTCAGTAGAGTTAATTACCCAGAGGTTTTAAACAAAATCAAGACAAGAGAGATGAGATTTATAAAAGAGAGGTGAAGAGGGTGTAGAGCTCTCACCTATTTCTAAGGCCGAGAAGAGCAGAATGCGCAGCACTTGCACAAGCAGAGACCGGAGCTATACCAGCAGCAGGAATTCCCCGTGCTGCAGTGGCCAAGGCAGACCCAGCACTGGCCCCGTATTGGTATTTTTTCAACGGTGTCCGAACTAATGCAGAAGCCGATTTCCCCAGGCCATCACTTAGGTTCGAATATGCCTGTGAATAAACATTAGAAAGATCAGAACCTTTGTAGCTGTAATGAGGATAGCCTTCTTCAGTATTGAATTGCAGAAAGTTCTACTACTACAACCCTCACCTGTTGCATTCCTTCCTGGGCATCTTTTGGCTGATTGCTTCGTACATTCGACTTCTTTTTACCCTGTGCGGTGGAAGACGATGACGATACCTGACGAGAAGGAACAGCAGTGAGGATGTACTCGGCTTGGAGTAAGATATCATGGGCTCCTGCAGCCAAATGCACTCCAAGTCCAACAGCTTCAAGCGATATACTTCTAAGAAATGCAACTGTACCTGCCAAAGGTCAAATTCAAAATGTTGTTGTTAACTCCTCTGATTAGAAAATGCCCAAACGTATGTATTATTATTAAATCATAACAAAATGTCTGGAAAAATCAGTCAAAAAGACAATATGATCATAGTGAGGCATCTTGTCACTCATCTGATAGACATTCCAAAAGAACCTACAGAGTGTAATTTGAAAAAAGAACGGGGAGCAAAAAGAAAAAAGGAGCGGCGGCAATAGGGAGAATCACCGGCTGTTCCCGGTTCTAGCAGCGTCAAAACGACGTCCCCGCCTCTTGCTTCATACTGAAGCAAGCGGTTGCCGCTGTCCCATCCACGTGTCAACACCGTGTTTGGATGGCTCGGTATACAATATATCTCAATGTAACGATAATAACGGACAAATAAAAGACGCGGGGAAAAATCGGCCGCCTAGTTCGCCAACATTTCTTCATCCCCAAGCATATAATAACTCACATTCTTTTACTCTACAGAGCTAAGATAAAAAGATAGCTGGTTTATGGATGCACACAGTGGCCTTCGACTACTTCAAGCACAATACGCCCTTATCTTTCCTCACAAGGCATCCCGGGAAGCTATTCGGCATGTAATGGCATCAGCAAGTGAGGAAATCCCTAGCTCCATCGCAGAGATTTTGTAATGCTGAAACAACATATTACGAAGCAATCGTGTATGGTTATCGGTAGCTTGAAAGCAACGATATGTCGATATTATTATCTATATACACGTCTAGTTAAGAGCCAGGCACTAGTTTCTATACCAACCTTGAGGATTTGAGCTTGGTTTGCTCTGCTCTCCAGCTCCTCCAAGTCGACCTCTTTGCCGTTGATAAGATTTTCTACCACTTTCATCTGAAGCGAGATGCAGGAAAAGCTTACATTACGGTCATGATCTTTGTGGATAGAAATCTATGGATCTTAAAGGCAATAACTGCATTAGTTTTTCTTAGAAATGAGGAAAAGCTTACATCTTCCGGCGAGGCATTGAAGCGAGCTGCGAGGACATACGTGCAGCTGTCTGAGATACCACATCGTTTCAAGGACTCTGTAATCTGGTACAGTCAGAAGAATGTAATACACATAGCAGTGCAGTGATTAATTGGAGCTTTGAACTAGGGAAAGGTAAACAAAAGACGAAGTTATGTAAACTAGTCATCGGGGGATTTACATGCTTGGATCCTGAGATATTGTAGACAAGCTCAGAATGAAGCGTTCGGGTTGTCAATGAATCCCGAGACTTTGACACAAGCGCCTTGTGTGCTGCAGCGAGAACAGGGAAAACATCGGGGATCTGCCATAATGGAATGCAATCGATCAGAAAAGTCAGATGATTAAAAAACGATATTGAAGGAGTTTTTCGGATAATGAATGTCGAAAAGAAGCATACAAGTGATGCATTCATAAACGAAACTTCCAGCTCCAGATTCCCAGCTTGCATAGAATCAAGAAGCTCCCTGCAGGATAAGGAGCTTTACAGTGAGCTTAATGTCCAATGTGGCAAGAACTCGTTAATGATAAAAACTGTAGCAGTACAACGTATGAGTAAAAGAAGGAGATCAAATTTCTCTTCCATGACCATCAAACTGTAGCTTTCTCTAATGCCGAACTTTCTGAGACTGCTAGACATGAAAGCCAATAGGTTCATTGTTAGGTAGCTTAGTCAAGTCCATAATCACCATTTTCCTTTCTAATTACCATCACAAAGACAATCATCCACAGTACTAGCTAGAACCGTTATCAAGTTTCAGGACATCCTGTAACTGATTTAGTGCTTAACCCAGCTAGAACATTTCCAAAGCAATTTCCATACAGCAGCAACGAGAAGCAAACAAGGCACATAATGGACAGTGCAACAGGAGGAGAAGGAAAAAAATTGTGGGAGAATCGTTACTTGGAATTGGCGACTTCGGCGAAGAGGGCGAGAGAAAGAGTGTTGTTTCCGTCGATTTGGAAGACCTTCATGGTTGAATTTGTTTGCAACTTTTCAGCTCTTCAAGTTATGGGGAGAAATCGAAGTTCCGGTTCGATGCGCAACCCAGAAGGATTGGAGGAGGAGAGTGAAGACGCCGGGGAGGATCCGAGACGCCGAATGGTTAAACCTCCGACGGCGGCGATGTTTCTGCTCGGTGGCCGGCGAGAGAGTGAGTACGGGTGATAAAGAGGATTGGGAATTTAGGGTTTAAAATTGCCATATTGGTTCACGCTCCGTACTTTGAGCGAGGGCGGACCACGGGACAAGATCGAAACTCGAAACGGTTTGTTTTAGTAGGCCCAGCTACGCTTTCGTAGGGATGGTAATTTCGACCTGATCCGATTTACCCGACCTGTTTGACCTGTTTTGGAGCGGGTCAAACCCGCCCCGTAGGCGGGGCGGGGCAGGGCGAACATGGGTACCTCTCATCGACCCGACCTGCCCTGACCCGCCCCATTCTGGACTTATTCTTGCCTAAATTACATATAATCTTAGTCAAATTACTTAAGATTTTCCTCTTATTACATTATATTTTAGCTATAATAAAGTTGTAAATAAGTGAAAACCTCAATTTCTTCAGTAATTTAACAACATTTTATCATATTATGGTTTCTTTCTTGGTTTTTCAATGAAAAGAATGAATATTTCTAATGTTTTCACATAAATTACATACTCAATGGGTCGACCTGCCCCGACCCGCGCCCCGTGATAAATTACCCGACCTGGACCCGACCTGCCATGGAGCGGGTATGGGTATCGAGATACCTGCCCCGGACCTGCCCCATTGCCATTCCTAAGCCCCAGCCTGGGAAACCGGCTATCACCAGTCATCCCACCTACTGGCCATGAATTTCCGTGTATGTATATCTGCCTAGCTAGTCCCCACCGTCTCTCTTCCCCTTTTCAGAAACACACACACTTTGTCTGAAGAATTCCAGAAAACTTTTTGCCATTTCGCGAAAACGATCAACACAGAAGAAAATCTCAACGAGCTCGCAGAAGAATTCCTTCTTCGTCTCCGTCTCCGTCTCTCTCCCCGCGAAACTCACCATGGGAACTTCTCACAGCCGCGAAGGCGCAGACCTCTCCGACTCCGACGACTACCACTCCGAAACAGAGGATCGCGACGACGAAGAAGAAGAAGAAGAGTACGAGGATGTTCACTACGACGCCGTCGAGCGCCAGGAGACGCCTCAAACGACTTCCTCGAACCGGACGATCGACGAAATCGACACCAAATTGAAATCTCTGAAGCTCAAATACGGCGACGCCTCCTCTCAGGGAAGTGGCGAGCGTCGCGTCAAGCTCTACCTCCACTTAGGCGGAAACAGTCCCAAGGCGAAGTGGATCGTCTCCGAGAAGTCGGCTCCGTACGCCTTCGTGAAGAGCGGCGGCGGAGGGGAGGACGATGAGGACGAAGGAGGATCTTCCAGCGGCGGAGGTAAGAAGAATTCGTTCTGGATTCTCCGGGTCGGGGCGAAAGTTAGGGCTAGGGTTTCGACGGAGATGCAATTGAAGATGTTTGCGGATCAGAGGAGGGTCGATTTCGTCGATAGTGGTGTCTGGGCGTTGCGATTCTCGGCGGACGAGGAGTTCAGGAGATTCGTTAACGAGTATCACGATTGCTTGTTCGAGAATGTGTACGGGCTTAAGGCGACCGAGGAGAATAAGGTGAAGGTGTACGGGAAGGAATTCATCGGGTGGGCGAAACCGGAGACCGCCGACGATTCGATGTGGGAGGATGAGGAAGGCGGAGAGGAGAAGTTCACCCCGTTGCGCGCGAATCAAGATTTGATGGAGGAATTCGAGGAGGCAGCTAACGGTGGCGTCCATAGCTTGACTCTAGGTGCTCTTGACAATAGTTTCCTTGTCAACGATCTGGGTGTTCAGGTTTACAGGAACAATCAGAAGGGAATCCATGGCAAGGGCATTTGTGTGAGCTTTGACGACAGGAACAGTGGATCACGTTTGGCGAAATCGACCCCGAAGAAGGGAATGCTCATGAGAGCTGAGACTAACATGATGCTCATGAGTCCCATGAAAGACGGGAACCCACATTCGACAGGGATCAAACAGCTCGACATTGAGACAGGGAAGATTGTGACAGAGTGGAAGTTTGAGAAAGATGGGACAGAGATTACAATGAGGGATATCACAAATGATAACAAGGGTTCTCAATTGGATCCTTCAGAGAGCACATTCTTGGGATTGGATGATAACAGGTTGTGTCAATGGGATATGAGGGATAAGAGTGGGATTGTGCAGACTATTGGTAAAGCCAGCGATTCACCTGTTCTGCAGTGGAGCGAAGGGCATCAGTTCTCGAGAGGTACTAATTTCCAGTGCTTTGCGAGTACCGGTGATGGATCCATTGTGGTTGGCTCACTGGATGGGAAGATAAGGCTGTACTCAAGGAGATCACTGAGACAGGCCAAGACGGCTTTCCCGGGTCTTGGTTCGCCCATTACTCATGTGGATGTTACATATGATGGGAAATGGGTGCTGGGGACTACTGATACGTATTTGATTCTCATTTGCACTCTGTTTACGGACAAGGATGGTAAGACCAAGACCGGATTCGGTGGTCGAATGGGGAATAAAATACCAGCTCCCAGATTGTTGAAGTTGATGCCACTGGATTCACATTCGGCTGGTGGCAACAACAAGTTCCATGGCGGCCATTTCTCATGGGTAAGGACTTCTCACTTGATGGGTACTTAAGATAGCATATCATAACAATCAATCTGGTCTAATGCTTTCCTTACTTTCAGTAAAAGGTGAATGCTAACCAGAGTATAGGAATCCAAGTGCAAATTCTAGCAGCATATTTTTTTGTTTGTGAGCAAAGATGACATCTTGTTACTGTTTTGTCCAATTAGTTGGTGAAAGGATGAATCATACATGTTTCGTCGAGAAATCTGAAATCTTGTAACCTTAATAATCGTCATACCGGATCATCTCATGTGCCTAGGACATGATCTTGTAGGCATGGCCGAAGTTAACAATGTCCTATTTTGTTTCTTCAGGTGACTGAAAACGGTAGGCAAGAGCGCCACATCGTGGCGACGGTGGGGAAGTTCAGCGTGATATGGGACTTCCAGCAGGTGAAGAACAGTGGACACCACTGCTACAAGAATCAGCAGGGGCTGAAGAGCTGTTACTGCTACAAGATCGTGCTGAAGGATGAGTCGATCGTGGAGAGCCGGTTCATGCACGACAACTACGCCGTCAGCAACTCCCCCGAGGCTCCTTTGGTGGTGGCGACGCCGATGAAGGTCAGCTCCATTAGCCTCTCCGGCAGCAAGCAGCAGCGGTCACGCGGTTGAGATGTGTGGTCTCTCTGTGGTTCGTTTTCGTAGTTGTTCGATTTGTGCAGAGTTTGGTTTTCTGGTTTCGGCTGTATGTAGGGTTTGATTTTGCTTCTCAAAACTGATATTCCCTCGTAATTCAGATTTCTGCTTGTACGTAATGCCATTGAGAATCAGTACGGTTTGTGTTCATTTCCCATTGTTGTAGTTCAAGTGTGAATTATGATGCGATATTTTTTTTTGTCAATAGATCACTCTCTAAAAGAGGAAATCATTGTCATAACAAAGTCATAGAGTGGATCAAACATCCCTCGAACGAAGCCAACAAAAGTCGAACCTCTCTAACATTTGAGGCGACAAACTAAGAGCTTTACGAGCCACACAATGCGCTGCTCTATTTCGAACTCTTCCCAAGAACTGAACTTGAGAATTGACCACCCCATCCAAAAGACCCAAAATATCTTACAGAATCACCCCGATCTTGCTATCATCCACATCCATAGCCAAGCACTTATCTATAATCAACTTGGCATCACAACCAAATAAGACACCTTGTGGCTGCCGTTGGAAACAATAGATAAGATAGTCTCTTAACCCCAAAGCCTCAAGCACATAAGGATCTAAAATATCATCGTAGCGACGAGTAGCAGCTCCAAAGATATCACTCAATGGATCGAACAAAACAAAATCAATGGTTCCAAATCCCTAAGTAGAAGTTGCAGCATCAAAGTTTGCTCGCCAACACGGAGCCTGTTGGAAAACCTACATATGGGTAAAAGAAGGTGGCGTCATCCTGTTAGCAGAAGGGAGCAACACAACCTGCTCATATTCTTGAACTTGACGAGACCATTGAGCAGCCAAAGCAGGGAGATGTAATTGCTTTGATTGGAACACCACTAGGGGTGGGTAACGATTCGATTCACATCGGACCGAATCGGATCGAATCGACTATCACACCGAATCGGATCGAACTGTTTATCTTTCGATTCGACTTTGGTTCCTGAGTTTGGGACATTTTCGTTTGGTTCAGTCCATACCAAAATCGTAAAATCAAGCTAAGGACCGAACCGAATCGTAATTAAATTAATTGCCTATTTTATTAGGCTCTGAGAAGGCAAGTCGACTTGGAGTTGAAAACCCTAGTACCCTACACAACACTTATGACTTAACTACCTATAAAATATGATTGACTTTCCCCGACTTTGACTCGCCGCTCCCGCTCCTATAGTCCTACCCTCAAATCAGAGCTCTCATCCGCGTTGCTTCCATCAAGAGGCTGCTTACTTTACCTACACACTGTGAGAAGATGCGAATAAATGACACCACAGAGGCTTATGCCAAGTCTGACAACACCACTGCAAATTAGCAAGGTTAAAAACCATTTGTTTTATTGCATTAGTTCTTGGAGTAGGTGTCACTTTGTTAAACTCCTTTCTAATGCCTTATATCCAGTGCTTATATGGCAGAAGAGAGGCTTTCTAATGAATAGTGGAAATTCTAGAGATTGGGCGGTCCAACGTGCACTATGGAAATGAAAATGGAAGATTAGAGAGGTAATTAGTTAGACTACCTTTGAGATTGAATAAAAAGACTTTTGTCTTTTAGTTAGTTAAGTAGTTCTCGTTTAGCTTTTTGCATAATATTTTGAAACATGTGGTTTTAAAGAATTGTGGAGTATTTAAACTGGAATAATTTGATTACTTTTTTTCGAGTAGTTACATTTTTTTAATTCTTGTGTTGTTCTTTAAGAGTGATTTTGTTCAAATGAAATATTAGTTGGTCCAATGGGATGGTCCAGACCGAATCGAGCCATATATGGTTTGATCCAAACCGAATCGAAATAATAATGATTCGACTTTGGTCCTTGATTTAGAAGAAATTTTGGTCCGGTCCGAGTATAGTTTGGTCCGGTCTTGAACCGAATCGACAGATGCCCAGCCCTAAACACCACCATACACCGATTCTTCCATAATCTCCACATTAAACAAATCACTTGTAAAATGAAGTAATCGGCCTCGGAACCCGTAGCTTGGCTGAGGCATGGCGAATAAATCCCACAAAGGACATTTTATCTGCATGTTGCCAAAAAGCCCGCAGACCCAACAACCTCCAAAATTTGCGAGCAACTAAACAATTGAAGAACAAGTGTTCAATCGTTTCTTCCTTCGACCACAAACCGGGCAAATGGGAATTAAATCCATTGAAAGATGGGCCGGCCCAGTTGAGATGGGCCGGCAGTTGAGATGGGTCCCTTGATCACTCATAACCTATAGCAATTTCGCGCATTGAAAGAATATATGATCTCGAGATCTCGAAGCATTCAAACATGAAAGACGACACTGACTAAGTCAGGTCTTCATGTTTGCACTTTATTAAGAGTCACAATCTTATCCAGCCGAGAATTGTACTCTGCTTCGAGTAGCAACGAGACATTGTTCCTTATTTCTCAAATTTCCATGACCGATCTAATGAAATGCAATAGATTGTTCTTTTGGCTAATATATAAAATGGAGTTTGTTCTTCTTCTATCTTGCAGCATTTACATAAACATGATTACTAGCAGTAAGCTCAATAATTAGCAATGCAAATCCACGTGAAAATTATGCATTTACACGACTTACTTGATTTGATTGAGATCTCACCGGCTGCTTAATTCTTCTGCTATTATTTTAAGCAAGACTTGCTTACAAATAGTACGTACTGCACCCAATATCACCTTGCGCATACGATAAGATTAAAAAAAAACATCAGGAGATTAAATCTGTATGAACTCGACAGGTTAATTAATTAAATTCCAAATGGGGTGTCATGATCTCATCTTATCTCTTTTAAAAAAAATTGTTAAAAATGATTAAAAGACATATTCATATTCCTTAATTCCCCCACGTTGGTCTGTCTCTTTTGTCACTCAACCCCCCTCTAATCAATTAATTTAATTAATTAAAAGCCTTTCCTTAAACTCAAAATGATTGTATATTTCACCCACGTGTTAAATGATGATCTAAGCTCCAACTTGGTTAATTTTTATCGAAGGATCGGAAACCACACATGTTCTTTCTGTTTTAGTAAATACTGAACTCTGAAGGCGCAGATCCTCCTGGAGCGGGTCCCACGCGTCGGTCTTTTTCTTCAGGTTTGAAGTGGACCGCGTTGGTCCCACCACTCGTTATCAATTATCATCACCTTCTTTCAGGGTTCGTTTGGAAGTTGCGATTGTTAAATAGATGTATTGTTGAGAATGCATGTATAATATTATACATGTATTGTCGAATTTGATGCATTGTAGAATACAATGTTTGGTATGTGTGATTGTGTATGTCGCATCAGCTAAAAGATGAGACAAAACAATCTCAACTCAACTATCTCAACAATCACAACTAAAAGTTGAGATATAACAATCACTCAAAATGAGTGATAGTTTCTGTCACATCATAGAAACAATCCATGTATTGTTTTTTCTAAAAAAACAAAAAAACGATGCATTGTAAACAATACATGCATAATGACAATCTCAACAAAACAATCGCAACTTCCAAACGACCCCTCAATCTTCTAGAGTTCCGTTGTATTCCTCCTAGGCTTACCGTTATTGATATGATTGGATTGGGTACAATTGGTTTATAGGTCGATTTTAACTAAATACATTACGAAGTAAGCAATCGTTCACACCAAATAATTTTTGGATTTATATAATCTATTTTAACACAATTTATCTGTAATCTTTATCTATATTTAAACAAAATATTACATTACAAATAAAATGACAAATCAGCATATTTAACTGCAATAGATAATGTCCACATCCAAACATTTATAGTTGCATACAACAGATATAAACATATAAATGTCATACTTGGATCCGATAGTTTTTTATTTTATTTTTTTGTTAGTTAATTCCACTAAAGTAACGACATTAATTTCCTTTCGAGACCGAAATTAACTGTTTCGATGGATCACTCTTTTCTCGCTGTTTTTTATCGCTTTTTTTTGTATCGTTTCATACTGGTGGTCTTCAAGCAGGTTTTAGCCCAATATAGGTTGAACCGACCAACATACTAGTGGTTTCATACAGCGGTAGATCCAGGACACAAGAGAGCATTGGGCCGCATTTGAATAGAATATTAGACACTATAAAGAAAAATATATAATAATATAGTTTTCATTACAATGCCAATTGTACAAGAAGTCTTTTAATTTAGCAAATTCATCAATAATATAATCTCCATCCATACTGATAATATACTCTTTTTCAAAGAAAATAGCTAAGTAATGAAACAAGAAATTTATCGCTCATTTTGTTGCACAAATCAATGTTCATGTTCCATTGCTGAAAATATTCTCTCCATTGTAGTTGTTGAAACGGCTAGGCCAACACTAGACAAATCAACTGACAAATCAATTTGTAAATATTTTCTTCATCAAAACACCAGAAAGAACGGTTAGAATCTACTGGCCTACTCAATTGAGGCAATCTAAATGATGACTCAGCAAGTTTGTAAATATTTTCTTAATCAAAAGAATGGAAAGAAAACCAGCTCGACGGGCTGGCGGAGAAATCTATTTGGGTCTGCTCGTCTCCTCGTTCTTGTTTTGTTTTCGGGGGATTGGAATTTTTTTTGAATTTTTCAAGGAAGGGTGTGCTTTAGTTTAGAGTTTTTTATTTTATTTTAATGAAACTTTACACTTTCAGATTTTCATGTCTTTATTCAAATAAAATCATTTGGGGCTATAGAAAATTTAGTATAAATTTAGAGTAATGATTTGGATATGTTCATCTGAACCATTTTCCTATTTACACAAAATCCTATTATCAAATAAACTATACAGGATTTTAAATAGCACTAGACCAAATACCTAAATCAAAAAATTTTATAAGCATTAAACTAACTCTGGATCCGGAAGAGGGCTGGGCCGGGGCCTAGGTTGGCCCAGATCCGCCACTGGTTTCATAACCTTGATTCCAGCCCCGTTTCTATTCCGCTAGCATCCTTATCGCATTTAACTAACTACGAGTTTACGTGACTTCGACTTGATGTTTAGTAATACACTTACATTCGAAAGATGAGGATGTGACAATAATTCAACAAAGTCAGCACGCGCATTATGCATACGAAACTTAAACTTGGATGATTGTATCCCAAAACCATGTGTTAACAAAAGGGTTGGAATTTACAGTGCTGTTGTAGACTTGTAGCATCATTTCTCGTATTTGAAAAATGAATTTAACGAATAAAATACAAACTATATTACACAGAAAATTCTGATTCTTTTTCTCCTAATAAAAAAAAATCTACGAGAAAAAAAGAATCAGAAGCTTCTTTCCTTCCCTCCTCCCCTGTTCTGCTTTTACTCTGTTTTCTTACTCGGTTGGCCGGGAAAAAAAAAAGAAAACAGAGGATATTCAGAAGCAGAGATTCCCGGCGCTCGTGCACATTGTCCCCGACGTACCGCCGGAATCCGAAGAATCCCCGCCGGAGAAATCCATCACCATCCTCATCCACTCCTGAAACTCGTCCTGTTCTCCACTCATCATCATTTCCCCCATCGTTTCGCTACAACTTCCGATCATCTCCTCCACCTTCGGCCTCTCCTCTCTCACACGCTTTCCCTTCGCCTTCTCCGACCCGGCCGGCATTCGATTCGAACAATCCGAGCTTCCGTCGATCTGAATTTGATCGGGGAAGCAGAAATTCAGCTTGGCTCTAGGCCCGCGGAACTCGATCGCCGCCCGATCGTAAGCCCTCGCCGCGTCCTCCGCCGTGTCGAACGTCCCCAGCCACACCCTCGTCGCCCTTCGCGGGTCCCGAATCTCCGCCGCCCATTTCCCCCACGGCCGCTGCCTCACTCCCCTGTAGCTGTTCTTCTTCTTATTCCCCCTCTGTTTCCGCGGCGCGGCGGGTTGCTTCTTCTTGTTTTCGTTGTTGTTGTTGCTGGCATTTTGATTTTGTTGATCCTCTTGGTTTGGCGGGAAAAGCCCACACCCCAAGCAGCCCTCGATCCGGCACACCGTACACGTGTCGAGATCCGACGGCGGGAGCGGCAATGGGAATTGGACCAATTGGTGGGCTCGAAGTGAGCTGGTGGTGCCGGCGACGACGTTTCGAAGCGCGGCGACCATGACGGCGAGCTCTTCCTCCTGGGTGAGGCGAGACGGCGGAGGCGGCGAGCCGCTGACCTTGGGCCGCTTGGGAGAAATCTGGTTCATGATTTGGAGGTTGAATTTTTTTTTTCTTGCTTGCTCTGTTTTCTTTCTGGAGTGTTTTTTTTTTTCTTTCTTTGACGGATGGATTTTGATTTGAAGGGGAAATATGGCGGTCAAAGGGTTTATATACGGAAGAGAGGAAGGAGGAGGTGACGTGGTTTGCCAGCTGGGATAGACACAGTTCAGACACGGGGTTGAATGAAATGGAAAATGGAATTTGCACGTGATGGTATTGGATAAAAAGGTTGGGGCCCGCTTGCTGACTGGACTTGAAGTGGGGGCACTTTCGGATGACGTGGAGGGTCTATTTATATAATTTTTTTGTCTGTATGCACGTGAGGAGAAAGGTTTTATTAATTATCGGCGGAAAGAAGGTTTATTTGGACGGCTAATTAGTAATTTGATTTCGACGGTCATTTAGAAGTTAATAATTTTGCAATTAAGTAAAACTACATAAAATTACCGAAGAAGAGGGGGAAAAAAAAACGTAATAAACAATGGAATGGGTACTGTGTATAACATATTCTTATCATTTAACGGAAGATTTCTAATCTTTTGGTCAATTAATTTTAATGTGCTCTATCTTTTGTAAAAATTTGAGAAATTTTATTATCAATCTGTATTTGATAGTACATAAGATTATATCACATGGTATGGAAGTATACTGTGATCGTATGAACATGTCAAAGTGTAGTATGGTTGCATGCAGGATAGTAGGAATATAGTAACCGTCATTTATCATATTTCATCATCATATACCACCACTTGTTGCCCTCTATTAGGGTGGTATATTTAATATTGAAAATTTTATCTCTCATAAATTTTTAGATCTAATAAACTAAGATGAATTCGTTCCTTTTAGGCAAAAAAAAATTTAAAAAAATCAAGTTCAAACGAAGGTGGTACATACTAGTTTCAGGTGGTAACGAGTGGTATGCGTAATACGAATATTTCTTTACAGAAATATATTGAACGTGGATCTTATTTTGTATATCACAACAAACTCGTTCGATTTGTGCAAAAAAAATTCGAACAATTATAATCGAACCCCTATAATCCAACATGAAGAGATTTCCTAAATATATTGGACTACGTTAGTACACCGCGTCTACTTAAAAATCGAACCCTTATAATCCAATTTAGATAATTTTAATTTTACCCTTATGAAGTCATTTAATTTCTTATAATCAAGCAATGTGGTAAGCATTTTTTTTTTTGTGTGGGTAAACACACATATCAACAAAAAAAGGTGTAACTTGACATAAAATTCCCAAGTTGGGAAATGGATTTGCCTGAAAACAAGAGGTAAACCAAAAATGGCAAATGTACAATAAAACTTACAAGAAGACAACTAGGAACCAGGCCAAAAACCAGAAGGGCCCAAAGGCAAGGAAGAGTGGACGAGAAATTAGAAGTAGGGACGGCGACGGCGACGGATGAGATAACGCCGGAAAACGTTGGGCTGGCCGTTGGAGGGTCCCGGCGACAGAAGCCGTATTACCGGACACGTGTGAACCCCTAAGACTTCCGATTCCTGGCCACTTGTCAAGAAAAAACAAAAGGGGAAAATCCTGCTTGGGCTTGACCACGCATTTGAAAAGGTCCAGGCCCTTAAATAATTGGGGCCCACGTTGGTGTAACACGTATGCCATTACGTAATAAATCGTAAGTTGGTGTAATCTTGGAGTTCAAATTCCCCGCTCGGGTCACACAATAAAATAGTATTTAACGTGGCACAGGCCACTGTTTTTTTTTTTTATAAATATTTCGGAAGGAATAGCAAGATACGAATATACAAGGCCAAGTCAGGCCGTTGTTAGTAGGGATGGCAACAAAACCCGAACCCACGGGTACCCACCCGACCCAACCCGGTCAACGCGGGTAAAATCCGTGTTGACGGGGTTTGGGTTTAAACCCGCTACACTATTCACCGGTCGGGTTGGGTTTGGGTTTAGGTAAACCCGACCCATGGGTACCCGCCCACACACATATAATTACTTTCCCGGTATATTTAATATTCTAAATAATATATCTTCCTTAAACAATTTATATTCTTTATATTTGTGGAGACATGTATAATTTGTTCTTTCTAATTGTTTAGAATGAAGTTGATATTATGAAGTGGAGAGTGAAGAAGAAGAAGCTTTCAATTAATCTTTTATTTATAGATGTTTATCTTTAATTTTGAACAATTTGTATTGATCATTTGCGGTTTGCTTGTATGCTCTAGATTGGTGCTTTTTTGTATGATTAATTTGTATGAGAAAATTGATGTTAAACTTTTATTTTGAAAGAAACTTGTTATTGCAAATTGTTTACCACAAAAACCCACGGGTACCCATGAACCCGCGGATACCCAGCGGGTTGGGTTGGGTTTGAGTTTTTCAAACCCAACGGGTTTTACCCCGGGTTTTTTTAGCGAATAAACCCATGGGTTTGGGTTTGACAAAACCCGCCCCAACCCGACCCATTGCCATCCCTAATTGTTAGGTTACAAGCTTACAGCAGTAGAATCGAATCGAATTAATAGATGGGTCAGTAGAACCACTAAATCAGTTACAGTAGCGACTCAGTTCATTTGATTGAACGGTTACGGATGGACTGAACGGTTCTTAGTGATTTGGACATGACACTGATAAACCGCCTCCTAACCGACAAGTCCCAGTGATTTGCATTAAATTACTAAATACATCATAGGTACATAGAATTAGGGGTGGAAATCGGTACGGTATCGGTATCCCAATACAAAATACCGAAATCTCGAATACCGAATTACACCCTAAAATCAATCTCAATCTCTAAATATTTCGGTATCCCAATCGGTATTATGAAATACAAAATTAATTACCTTTACAATTAATAATTAAATATATAAATTAGATTTGATTATTTAATGTAGGACAAATAGACTAAGCAAAGAGTTTTGAGTTTGGCTAGAGGCTAGAGCTAGGATATGGATAAGGAGAACATAGGAGAGGTGAAATCTCAAGTTTTTGTCATTGTTAATCCTTAATTTGACGAATTGGAGGCTGAGAGAAGACTAATACTAGTGTTTGCTTTTTTGTGTTATGAAAATAACAATAGATTTGTGATTGAGTTTCGTGTAATAGTGAATGAGAGAGTCTAGTTGAGAGGATAAAATACACACTAGCTTATATTTCGGTAGTGTTCGGTATTTCGGTATATACCGATCTCAATCCCGTAATCCCTAATACCGAATAACAATTGAAATAGAATCCCAATCTCAAGAAATAATACGTGTATTCGGTAATACCAAACATACACAAATTCGGTACGGTATTCGGTATATCCCAAATACCGGTACCAAACTTCCAGCCCTACACAGAATAACATGGTGGTTTTCAGAGAAAAATATAGGTTGTGAATTGGGAATGGAAACTATATACTTTCTGTAAATTTACTGAGCTTGGGAAATTTCATATCACAGGAGTTGAGTTGCCTATCATATCATGTATACACCAAATGTAGAGTAAATGGTAAAAAAATAGAAGACACTTGACCCCAAAAATATCAACTAACAAGAACACCACCGTACTGCCTGCCTGCCTGCCTCTCTGCTCTGGTCCTTTGCTCTACTTTCGTCAACTCATCTCTACACTTGCACCAGCAAGAGCTTTGATCTCCACATCAGAATTCTGAGAAGATGGAACTAATATTAGAGCTTCACCAACACCCTACCCTACAACAAGAATCATAGTCAAAACCCCCTAACTGCCTCGCCCCCTACTGCCCTCCGTCAGACAAGACAACTCCGACGAGCAATACTGCTGCCTATTCGCGCATTCAGTCCTCTTCTTCCGAGTCTGCAATGACGATATATAACCATGATCAGTTTCTGGAACTTGAAGCAGAACCGAGCCACAATGACGATTAAGATTGAAAAAAACACTCACTAACTGAAGTGGCGCGAAGCCTTACCAGATCTTATATCGCCTTCGACCTTTCCTCTGTTCAGTAGCTGCCTTTTTATCATAGCCCATATCAGAATCCACCAGTAGATGTGGAATATAAGTAACATGATCAGCAACGTGTTGAATGCATAGTACAGTGATCTCGGGTACCACCGTCTTAAATCCAAATACTCCACAAGATCGCGGCTGGCGACAAAGCAAAACCACATGAAATTTTTAACATATGGGATAGACAGAAGGAGGAAAGGAGATCGCGACAAACCTTGTACTACTGATAATCCAAAATGGAAAGAATATCAATCGCAGAATGAGCCATGAGGCAGCAAATAAGCCAAAGCAAATGCTTGCTCCAAGCTCCTTCCTGGTCTTGTTAAAGATTTTAGCAGCTTCTAAGAATACATCACTAGCATCATGGAGGGCCAGAATTATTGTACCTATCCGGAAAAAGCTGGAGAGGGAAAAGGTTAGGCATTTTGTTATTTCGTCAGTTAAACTGAAGCTCACAGTTCGGTTGCTTCTTCTAAAAAGAAACTTATAGTGTAGGCCATCTTTGAGAGAATGAGAAATGCTTTAACATCTCAGTCATGCCATTTCTGGTTATGTGAGACACCAAAAAGGGAATTCATCATAGTTTGTTAGTGTTTAAACTATATGACAAGTCTAAAGTTGTTCTTGTCAGATGCCAAAGTATACCCACCCACAAGAGAGATGAATATCGACACCATTTCCAGACTATAAAACTATTTGACTTCGGCAAATGAAATAGACATGGTGAACATTAAGAATCTCAATTAGAAAAATGAGTGGCCCTATCATTTTCCTGCATCATGTGGTAATGGGATGTCAATTTATTCAGTAAACAAGGCAAATGGGAAATGCAGTGATGGGAGAAGCAAGAAGATGGTCTTTGGACAAAATTATGAAACCAACGGCAACCTTTAGGACATGTAACCTACAATAAATTGTCAGTCATAGAGTTGTATAATCACTGAAACACTACCTTGTAACATATGAGATTCCGATCAAAGCTACTGTAATAACATGATGAGACATCATGACAGAGAAATCTTTTCTTCTAGTTTCCCACAAAACGAGAGCAGGAATACTATAGAGGTAGAATCCACACTGGCACATGTAATATAGCATAATGGAAAGCCTGCAATGGAAAAATGACATGTGAGTACTTAGGATAGAAACTTAGGAGCCACAATGCTGGATGACTCGCATGACATAAGATAATATTTAAAGACAGAAGAGACAATTTTGCAATCTCAAGTATTAAGATATGCCAGAAAATAACAAAAATGAAAAGGCTGATTAGCCTGAACAACTAGCAGGAATAAGAACAAAAATATTATCTTTAAGACCCGAACCCAACAGTTGCCCCCGAAAACAGTAGGATAGCTAATATAGAATTTAACTACTCACTTCAATTCTTGATTTGGCAAGCCTCTGAAGTACAGTTGTGAATCCCAGAACCATGGTTCCTCAAACAGAATCTTCAGAACATACACTTCAAGAGTTGCATAGTATGTCAATTTCCACATCGACTCAGTGCATTTAATAATTGTCGCCTGTGTAACCTCATCTATCTTCACTGAAGCAGCTCTCTTGCCTAACAACCAAACAGTCACACCCTATAATGTACAAAAGAACAGGGCATCAGAAGGAGGTGAAAAATAAGAAAGAGTTAAGTGTTCAGTTCCACTCTAGTTCTCCTGTACAGATGACAGGGTCAACTTCTGACAGTGTAATGGCCAAAATGACAGATTCTATAAAACCCCAGCAGAAATAAAGGCAGAAACACAATGGAACACAAAAGTTGTCTTGCATTCTCAGTTTCTTCCCAAGTCTGTCAGTTGAACTAAACAGAACAGCTTCTGCAAATGAAAGTTTCTCTTGCCCTTAAACAAAACATTCTCAACAAATGAAGCAAAAGATGCAAAAATTTTTTGCTAATATTAGATGATCCGGACACCAATCACATCCTTTTCTAATCACTGAACACACCATTCTGAACAATCATTGGTGAATATTTTATAGTCAATCCCACAATGCTTCAAGATAACCCAAATGATAACTCTTGGCTCTACCCATTTGCTGCAGATGAAGCAAACAGAGAAAAAACCAATTTTGATGAGCCCAGCCAAAGAAAAGACAACTGGAGAAGATCCAAGAAAATCTTCCTCCCCAAGTAAATGGTTACACAAACCAGACACCTAGAGTCCCAAAAGGGTCTTCCAAACCACTCAATTATTTGACTACGGCCTTGACAGCTAGGAGACATATCCATTCCGAGCCAGACAGCACAGAAACTCGGCCAGTGAGACACTATTCGAAAGCAGTAGTTCCCAAGAACTTCCACGCTACCAATCATGGCCAACGTTCCCCTACTCCTCAAATCGGCTAAACAACGCTCAAAGAAATTCAGGAAACTATGCGGGAGCTTTCTCAAATTGGTCGATCCTAATCTAGCAGTAGATTCGTCTATGAGCATGAATCAAACCCAACTCAAAAGACGCCGAAGCCTCAATTCTTTTCCATACCCACCAAAGGAATCGCAGCAATTAAACAAACATATAATCAGAACTCGAGCCAAGAAAACCAGACGCGACAAAACGAATGCAACAAAAGAAGAGGGGAGAGGGGGGAAAAAAGAAAAGGCCAATCTAACCCGAAAGATGAATTTGTCGAGGAGGAACCTAGCGCCGCAGAGGCACACCGCGAAGCAAACAGCGGTGACGGAATGCCAGGGTTCCGGCCGCCCGATGTCGCGGCTCCAGATCCCGACGCCGTCCATGGAGACAAAAAAGCCCGGAAAGATAAAAAAGAGTACGGAGGATGAGATTCCGGGACCGGAAAAGGGCGAGCTCCGTCCTCAGCAGCGCGGTGCGGTTGTGTTCACCGCCGGATCGAAGCGGCCGGAGAAATGTCTGCCATCATTGGATGGAAAAAGGCGCCAAGTCAGGGAGAGATCTCAGCGGCACACAAAAAAGAATTAGCAGACGAAGGAATATACGCAAAGTTTTATGGTTTTTTTTGCTTGCTTGGCTTCCCCATTTTTGCTCCAGCTACTTTGTTATTTATTCGAGCCACCTAAATTCGCTTCAAAATCTGGACCAATGTTTTCAGGAATTAAAAAGAATTAATAAAATTACCGGGTTTTCTTTCATGGGCGCGTACCGTTTATCCATAATCTATGGATCGATCCATTGGATACACCAAGTAGGGCGCGGATACGAACCAAACCATATGGGAACCCGCGGTTTAGATTGGAACGTCGGATTTGGACTAGACGGTGAGATTATAACTATGGTTTGGTTTGCTTGGTGATCTCCTTGGAGTCAAACAGACTTGTTAGTCTTACTTACGTAGTTGAGTCGGTCGGATCAGATCCGACCGAAGTCAATACAAAAAACTGCTTTCAAAAATTTATTTTTGCCTCCAAACCTGTATCCCATCTAACCCACAAAAATGTATGGTATGATTTGATTGACTTGTTTCTAAATGTTAGACAGAATGTTGCATTTCGACCCTCTCCCATGCTTTATTTCGGAAAACGAAACATATATACACATCTGTTAGGGGAAGATAATATACTATTTGTTAAATTATTGTATGGTACCTTTCATATTACATTCAGGCTATTAAAAGCTTAAATTATTACCATAAATACGCATATATTTTTATGATATGGATAGTTTGAATTTATGGACCCTGATGCGAGCATTAAACTTCAAACCATTTATTTGACCTGTACAATGGAATAAACCGATTTGACAAGGAATCCAAAACAAGAGAAGAGCCTAAAACATATAAGCCGAAGATCATTATGGGCAGCAATGTTACAGTTTTACCATAAAAATGTATTAAAGTCAATAACATGATATTTGTAATCAAATCATTATGGTACAATGGTTTCATATTAATAAAATCTTATACCAATTTGAATTTGGAATAAACGATTTTTCCGATTAAATCGCTGGTACGGTACAGTGTGTAGCTAACACTGAAAACACATCAAACCTCATGATCCCAAAGGTTAATTACAACAGATGCTTATAGATCCAAAAGAGACATAACAGGTAGCAACCAATTGATTACAGTCTCGTGCATGCAGATGTAGAGGCTTTGAACAAGACTGTAGCCAGAGCACATGGAAAACAAGGAGGAGCAACCAGCCAACCACGTTGCTTTTGGAGGCCATTGATGGCAGCGGGATAGCTAACTTTTATTAGCTTCTGGGTATCTATATAAGAACAGGGTTTGCCAAACATTTATCCATGTAAAATACAATGGTCATTTCTCTATGTTTCCTCTTTGACATAAAATTTTTACATTCATCATGAAACTCAAAGATTGTAATTAGTGAGTGCTAACATCCGACGACTGATATCTTAATAGTTGATAGAGATGGCTGGCAAGATGAGGAATGGTGTGAATGAAGAAACCAATTCCAACTTGCTTTAACAGACATGAATTGTGGAGAAGGAAAACAGCTGTGCTGCTGCCTGCTGATAACTCATGTCATAAATCATAATGCTGAATACAGAGTAATTGAATGTTTTGTGATGTATAACACAACAGATGCTGTCAAAAAGCTTTCATCTAAGAAACCTGCCCAAGACTCTACTCACTGGTCCTTCCACATCTCAGAAAATTCGCCAGCCTCCAGCTGATTCGATAACTCGTGCACCTTCCTTCTCGTCTTGGCTTTGACCTTCTTGGCATATTTCCCGGCAGTCTTCCGCTTCTCCAGAGCCCTTATCTGGAAAAAAATGCAGCATGATCGGGAGAAAGGTTATCAAAATCATACATGTCATCAATAGATACCAAGAACTAGCTAGGGTCTTCACAGTTTCTACTCTCTGCACGAGAACACTTTTTTACGAAGGGAAATGAACACTGACCTGGTTGGGAGATATGTAGAATGGATTCTCATACAGAGTTGGGCCGCCGAAACTGCCACCGAAGATCTTGATAGGGTTCAAACAGAACCTTGGACCGACCTGTGTAAGACCATTCACGGGTTAAGAACGTTTCACTGTAAGTTCGCCATTATGTTAATGAAGTTAAGATGTGAATTGGAGTAACTACCTCAACAAGGGTCATCTTGTCCAGGCCTCCACGAGCCACTTTATCCGCTTCATTGTGAGGTACTGATATCTGGATTAGCAAAAAAAAGTGATGACAGAGTGAGCAACGATATCAATGTCTAAATGAGAACCATCTTTTTTTTTTTTTTGACAATGGGATCACTTGCATTGCACTTTGTAAGATCGATTACAAGAGAAATCAAAGAGGAAACCAGAACCAGAGCAGGAGTAAACATCTCCAAGCAAAAGTTGAAACAAACAGGTGTTTCAGAGATAGAAAAAGGGAAGCACAGAACACCAAATGAACCAACCCCTACATTGGGTCTGAAACACTTGATCCACAACCAGTAAACACAACAATCTCTCTTGCAACCAAACCAAACAAAGTAGCACCAAGCACATTCAGCTCGTCCGATCCGATCGAAACCATGGCTATTGAACACAGCAATGCCATAAGCCGCCTCCTGGGAGTCGCTCGAAGACGCTCAACACAGTGAATCTCAGATGTGTGATTACATGGCAGTGGTTAGGGAAGAGAATCAGATTGCTCCGAGCTGAAGAAGCAGAGGGAGCCAAGGAACCAAATCTTGGTGAAGGCGAGCAGGAGAACCCACACCCCAAAATCCAAGAACCGTCACCACAGCCAACCGGAGCAGACTCTGTCATCTACCCAACGACGACGACAACGAGGTAGATCTAAACCACCCGCAGAGGCCAAAGGGGGAAAATGGTGAATGGATTCACCAAAAGAAAGATAAATCCACCATCTTGAGGGACAACCACCACACAAAGTCTAGTAGAGACGCCAAAGATGCAAAATCCAGCCCCAAGGAGAGCAAACCCAGAAACAAGAACCCTAAAACAGAGAACAATGAAAAGCCACATAGGCAGGAAAAGCTGACAAAGCTGGAAAATCCGATGGAAAATTTCCTAAAACATAGGCAAGAGGGCTTGAAAAGGAACCATGGAAAAAGAGGGATCAATGGGCTACCGCCGGTCACCAAAAGGTGCCGGCAGCAACCCCTGGGGAGGCGGACTGGAGATTTGAGGAAGAGAGAGGGCAGAGAAAAGCTTTTGAATTAAAGTAAGAGAGAGGAAGGGCCCTAAATGAGAACCATCTCAAGGTAGCAAAAACAGTGGAAATATACACAATAAACAAGACAAGCAAGCATAACTCCTGCTATTTGATGGTTTCACAGATCCAGATGTGCAAGAATCAGACTGAAACTTACAAGGTGCAAAGTTTACCTGGTAATTGCGAAACCATATATGGTCATCCACAATGGAGAAGACAAAGACGTGATCATGATAAGGCTTGGATTTCCTGTGCTCTTTTGGAACTCCAAATATCTGAACCAAAATCATACCGGCAAAATTACATATCGAGCTTGTACTGCCTCGTACAGTTCTGATTGAGAAAATAAGAACAGAGTTGACAAACTGAAACCTGAGTAATCATTTCCTTCAAAAGCTTCCAGTGGGCATCTTTGTCAAAATTAGCTGAGAAAGTTAAAAGTGGGCGTGATCCTTTTAGATGATTCCCAGTAAGCTTCAGCTCTTCCATTGTGTGCACTGATCAAATGAAAAACATCGATTCAACACAAGGAAAAAACTAAAGCAGTAGACCCAATACAAGAACACTTGTGAAAATGAACCAATGAGTATAGAACCCCGTGGCAATTATAGTTACCAGCATTAACTAGGAATTTCACCGATGGTCCACTAGGACACTTTGCCATCCATAGATACAAGTCTTTGTGCTTCCTGCACTACAGTAGACCGACCACGGAAATAAGTTCATGTGATAAACCAAATGGAATTGCAAGTCAAATGCCATATCTCAGCCACCTAAACTGCCCAAATCTGTAGCTAAGAAATTACTATCTCACATTCAATTTTCCCCTATTGATGAACTTCCAAATTACGAGCTAAGAAATGAAGAAATGTTATACCTCAAAGAACAAACAGGAAGAGCAGCTCTTTAGCTCAACCATCTCACTGAGTGCAACCCCTTTGCTGCTTTGGGATTCAACCTTGTTATCTTTCTTACAATGGGGAAGCAGGGAAACCACGTTCAACATCAGGTGCCGGTACCTAAACATCATACAGCCATTGTTAAACCCAGAATCGGACCACATATTCAATAGCCCAGAATCCCAAATCAAATGAAAAACGAAATACACTCCAATCAATCAACTTTAGCAACCTGTAAGCGATTCGGCGGGAGCAAGTGACCAAAACCTTCTCTTTATTCCTGAAATTCGCAGGCTGATGAACTTCATCGTCTTTGTCTTCAGCAGGAGCAACAACGGCAGCAGCCTCTTTGTCCTTCCATCCAAGAAGGGTTCTTTTGGGTCGCTCGGGAGCAACTTCCTCTTTCTTTTGAGGTGCCGCCGCCGCCAACGCTGTTTCGCTATGCTTCCGCTTCTTCGCCATAGATGTAGCTGGGAAAAGCTGAATCTTTTTTTTTTTTCAAAAGAGAAATTAGAATGGTAAACCCTTGTTCGACAATCCTTCGAATCAACGAAGATGGGTTTCTCAACAAATCGAAACGGGAAGGCAGAGAGGAATTTACCAGTAGGTGTCAGGTTCTGCGAAGACAACTGAGAGGGGCGAAGACAGTAATGGCTCCGGAGTCTGGACCAAAAAACCCTACCAAAACCTCTATGCTGGGAGGGGAGAAAAAGGACGTGCCTTGGTGAAAGCTTCAAAGGACCGAAGCGGTTGGGCCAGGCTTTTTCGATGCCAGTTGGCCCAGTTCCAATGGGTCAGCTACTCAGATCCAACATTCTGCTGTCCACAAAGCCTGGGTCTTGCTACGCCTACGCATATATGATCCATTAGGAGTGGTGTATAATGTATAGGCCAATATTATGGTGCCGCTATAAAAAGTGCGGCACATCGATGACGTAAAATTTGATTGGTTCATGTGAAAGTGATGTGGCATGGACCGGGTATATTTAACACTAGTTCTTCAAACCAGTGGCCCATGAGAACTAGCCTACCTGCTAGCTGACCAAACGGACGGATAAGTCTCACAGCTAGGAATGGCAATGGGGCAGGTCCGGGGCGGGTTTCTTGGTACCCAGACCCGTCCCGTTGCAGGGCGGGTCCAGGTCGGGTAATTGATCACGGGTCGCGGGTCGGGGCAGGTCGACCTAATGGGTATGCAATTTATTTGAAAAACATTAGAAAGATTCGTTATTTTTATTATAAAACTAAGAAAATAAACAATATTATGACAATTTTAGTTAAATTATTGGAGAAATTGAGGTTTTCACTAATTTACAACTCTATTATAGCTAAAATATGATGCGATAAAAGTAAAATTCAAAGTAATTTTACTAAGATTACATGTAATTTAGACACAAACGGGTCGAGAATGGGGCGGGTCAGGGCAGGTCGGGTCGATGAGACTACCCATGCCCGCCCCGCCTACGGGGCGGGTCGGACCCGCCCCAAAACAGGTCAAACAGGTCGGGTAAAACGGGTCAGATTGCCATCCCTACTCACAGCCATATTGCATGTCTATGTTTGGCCCGGCTTTTAGAAGTGCTTTTCGGATTCAAAAGCTGAAGCAGTGCCAAACACCTCCAAAAGTTCGGCTTTTGAAAAACCGAAAAGTGCTTTTGTATAACATAAAAGCAGAAGCTCCGATTTAGAGCTTCTACGAAAAGCTGTTTTGAAAATACAAGATTATCCTTATCATATTTTAGTTTTATTTTAGAAAAATATTATATTATTTCATTTATATTGTTTTAAAAATAAAATAAAGTATAAAATCATATTATTTAATTAAACGAAGTCTAACAATATCCATTTTGACTACATTTTATTGTTTAGAATTATTATTCATAGTTTATATTATAGTCATTTATAGTCATTTTACACAACCTCTCATATTAAAAAACACTTTTAATAAATTTTCAACCAAACACTCAACTGCTTTTTTTGAAAAGTACTTCTATAAAAGCTCAAACCAAAAGCTGCTTCTGCAAAAGCTACCGCAGGGCCAAACTGAGCTTCTTTTTTCAACCAATTTAGTTAAAAATAATTTTATTTTAATTGCATATGTTTTTCCCGCAACAGAAAAATAGAAGGGAAAGGCACAACATAGGTTCTTCTACCTCGATCTCCCGCTCCTTCTCCGACGAACTTCATCGTCGCCGATTCAAACTCGAGTTTGAACCTGACGTCGTTGCCCGCTAGTAAATCACCTTATTCCTCCTAATATTCATTCTCTAAAACAAAATGACCATATTGTTAGAGTATGTTAAGTTTCTAGGCTGTTGAGCATTGCTTCCATATTGTGAGAGTATGTTAAGTTTCTAGGCTATTGAGCTCGGTTGACGTATAATTAAGATGGTTAGGAATGGAGATTGTGAAGTGAACACATCGGCAACTTAGACCATCTAGTTTAATGTAAATTTCATCATTCTAATTAGATAGTTTGTAGATTCTTTATATACAGGCAGCAATAATTAATTAAGACGAACGTTTTGATATAATTTTTTTTAATTTCGATGTAAAAATCATTCATCGTTAAATATTATGTCATTAATGAGAGAAGCACAATAATTGGTGGATTCAGACCAAACAACCCATACCATGCACGTTAATTATTAAAATAAGTTTAATTAGATTGATTTTGTATTAGTTATGGATTTTAAAGGGGTTTACACTTGTTTAATTAAGAGTTAAAAAAAGGTGTTTATTATGGACAGACACCGCTAGGGAGGAGAGTGGCTTCACTCTCGGAAAGGGAAGAAGGAAATGGGGTGCGTGGATGTCAAATGGATAGTCCCGCGAGTCCATCGGAAGGGGAAGTGGGGTTTGGCATTTCCCATTTTAGCTTTGTTGTTAGAAGAGATTTTTTGACATTTTTGGCATTCTGACCTTGTTGTTGGAGATGGTCTTAAGTTGTTGGTCTCTCACAAACTGGCACCACCATGTTTAGTCATGGAAGGACTTTCACAATAAGTTGTTCGCTCTTCTTCACTTCCTAGCAGAAATTCGAGTTCTTACTTCAGCAACACTCAATCACTTGCTCTCATAAAATCCTCGTGCATGGCATTCTCGACCAACCATCGATCAACTTCCAACACAAAGTACTCACTGTTTTGATGCTAGATTTTGGATGACTTTACGAACCAAACATCGATCGACTTCCAACACAAACTCAGCTTATTTTAGACTTGAGAATACTTGGCGTTTTTTTTTTTTTTTTTTTTGCTGTTTCTTGTCTATCTTGATGTATCTGGCAAATGTTAAGGCATCTGTCCTCAATAGTTATTCTTTGCTGATATGTACAACACAGTATTTCTGTTGTGCACACTTTTATCACGATTGCTAAGTTCACATGACAGCCTAAATATGATCATGGAGGAGAAAGCGTATAGTAATTCATATATTCACATAGAATTATGGTTTAGCTTGAGCTGCGAAAGGACAAAGCATCAAATAATTCAGTTTCCATCATAAGAACGTCAAGTATTCAGGTCCTCCACGCAGGTAGAAAATCAATGAAATGTGATGAGATATTTGCACTTATAATCAGTTTCAGCAGTCTTAGTGAAGGACCTAAGTTCAAATTTTGGTTATTGGGTTAAGTTGTTTCATTTGTGAGTCAATTGCTTGCATTTTAAAATACAGGGCCACTAGCATTCTACACTAATGAAAGAGCACATGAAGAGATAAAAATTTGTTGAGTGAAGCCTCGCTTAAACAAAAGGAGAATTGGAGTGATGGAAATGAATGAACTACAAAAAAAGCCACTCTCCATGTGACATTGACTTATGGGATAGAGTATAGCTACACAAAAAAACCCAACTTTATGAAATTCTATTAGTACAAAGAATTTGAACTTGTGGTACATTGCATCTCATCGTACAACGAAAACACATTTGTAAACAGTAATTGTACAACAATGGACCAAATTAGCTCATCCATATGATTAACTAGGAACTAAGGAGGTTACTGATCAACATAAACCGAGTTTCATGTTTTTCCTATCTATTGTGACTTCTGGTGAAAGCTTACATATATAAGTCTAGACACACAGACTTAACAAGAATAGACAACCTAGATAGATTATGCATCTGCCAACGAGTTATGGATAACTTTTGTATTTTCTTGGGAAACTATCATATCGCAGGAAACTAGCTAACAGTGTCCATATTAGACACTTAACCATAAGGGTTCATCTTGATAATCTCTATCACATCTTCACTCGACTCATAAGCAAGCTTTCTATTACTCTAAACAAACTTCACAATCTATTTCACACCAGGTTTTCTCTCCTTCCAGAATGAGAAATAGTGAATAATATATGATCCACGATTGAACCTCCCCCCAACAACTCGAGTTATTGGGATCAACTGGCTCTTGACATGGTATCAGAGTCTTATGTGACCGAAAGGTCTTGTGTTCGGTGACCCCCGTTTGTGAAGCACATGGTATCTCTGTATTCAGACCTGTGCAAATAAAAGCCCTTATGAGGTGACTGGATTTCGTTTGAGGGGGTGTGTTAGTGAATGGTACATGATCCACGATTGAACCTCCCCCAACCACTCGTGTTATTAGGATCAACTGATTCAGACCCAGCTGCAGGCTCCTAATGAGTTCGAAATTTGTCTATAGCAAGCACCTACAATAAAAAGCAAGGCGTCTGAATAACTTCAAACAAGCTTTATTGAATAAGAAAAGAGAGTTGGCTAGGAATCAAAATTTCAGAGGAACATTACGGTAATCCTATCTTTGGCTTCGTTTAGGGATGGCAAAAATATCCGTAACCGCGGATATCCGCTCGACTCCGGCCTAATTGGGTAGGGTAAAACCCGAACCCGAAGGACATTTAGTGGGTGCGGGTAAAATCCGAACCCGAATATTGCGAGTAATGGGTGGGCATGGGTTTCTCACTATCCGACCCGAACCCGCCCGATTATACACATGCATATGTATTTTGTCTAGAAATAATTATTAGTTTTCTCTAAAATATTTTATATTTACCATATAAATATAACATTTTCATGAAATTGTGTAGTTTTAATTAATTTTCTTCATTCTAGTGAATTATTGTCGTACTTTTCCTCTTACGTAATGTGAGAATACATGTGAATGTTAACAGATTGGTTGGAGTTATGAAGATAATTATGAACCATGGATAACCGTGGATACCCGAAATCCGAACGGATATGGGCATGGTTTTGATTTCTACCCGTTTCACATGTGGGTACGAGTATGGGTAAAACCCGAACTACTATGGGTAGGGTAACGGATATGCACTATCCGCGCCCGACCCGACCCATTGTCATCCCTAGCTTCGGTTAGCCTTGTACGGCGGGGCAGAGCAGCTCGACCAAGAAAGAGGGCTGCTCGGAACTGGGGATTCGACGTTTTGTTTTCCATAATCAATGTAGGAGAACACGGTAGATTTGAGTGCAGGCAGAAGGTACAAACTCTAGATTGGATCGACGGCGATGAAGTTCACCGAAAACAGTTGTTTCCTGCTCACAGGGAGACGGAGCGCCAGATTGAGGAAGACGACCTATGTTTTTCCTTTTCGTTCCTTGTTTCTTTCCGCTCGGCGGGAAAAACAAATGCATTTAAAAATTAAAACTTAAATTATTGCAAGAAAAGAAGCTAAATTGATGGGAAGTGGTCAGTGGGGAATGACGGACTCCGTCACTCTGGTTAAAATCGGTTTGGCGATATATTCCGGGCAATGGGTTTGAGTTGGGA